TTCCTGCATTATTTTCCTGATTTCTTCCAATTTTTTGTCTGTATTTTCCATGAATTTGTCTATTTTTTCCTCATTTTTGTCTGCTTTTTGCTTCAGCTCTCAGAGAATTCTGAGTATTAGAGATTTGAATTCCCTATCAGGTAGTTCTAGTGCCTTTTCTTCCACTGGAAAGTCAGCTGGTGTTTTATTTTGGATGCCTACTGGAACCATCCTGTCTTATTTTTGTAAAAGTTTTGATATTGTCTGCTGTCTTCGGGGCATTCAGTAGTTATTTTTCTCGTTTATTGATTGTAGATTTGTTTGTTTTGTCCCTTTTTTAAATTTGGCTATGTCTGAGCACGCGGGCTGTGTGTTCTTTGTTGGTTGCTCATCTGTGGGCATAATACTTTTTGCTTCCTTCTCCAGTTGGAAGGGTGAGTCACTCAGATGTGGTACAGCAGGGTAGGTCTAGCTGAAGAGGAGTTAATGGGATGGGTTGTTTGCAGCACTTACTACAGCCACCAGGTTGGGTTGGTAATCAGTGCAGGGCAGGTTCCAGTAGGCCATGCCTGCGCTGCTTGGTGGCATGGTGTTAAGCGCACAGTGCAGGTAGGCAGGATATAGTGGGCAGATTGTTATGTGTGGAGCTAAGATGGATATCGGAGAGAGGAGAGAGGAACAGGAGCCAGAAACATACAAACAGACAAAAAAGAATGCTAGGGGAGCTTGCATTGAAGTGGAGAGATGAGAGACTATGAAATGGAGAAAAACAAAAAGGGGAAGATGAAGGAAAAAAAAGAAAAGAATGAATAAATCAAAATCGGAAAGGTTAAAGAACAGCAAAGTTCCCAGGGATCCCACCGGTGAGGCTATGAGGTCTGGGGAAGTTATTCTCAGGTGTTGCAGTACAGCCTGGCTAGAAGGCCTAGAGGTATACAGCGCCAGGTATTCAGGGAACAGAAAGAGAAGGAAGATATAGAGAGACGAGAAACTCAGTAATGATGAAAGACAAAAAGGGAAAAGAAAACAAAACAAAAAAAAAAAAAAACAAAGAACAAAAAAATCCCCCCAAAAAACAGGGGAAAAAAAAAAAAAAACAACGAGAAAAGACATGTCCTCAGGGATCCCTCTGCACGTCTGTGCTAGCCAAGGGGATAGTTTCCAAGCCCGACAGCACTGCCTGGCCAGAACGGGCCCCCAACTCAAGAAAAGGAAAAGAAAACAAATAAACAATTCAAAACAAACAAACAAAAGCCCCAGGATCCCACCAGCGCAGCAGCCCAGACCAGGAAGCAGCTCCACACTCGAACGGAGCTCCGTAGCCCCTCAGGAAGAAGCAAGGATGGCGCACGGAGCCAGGTATTTGAGTGAAAGGTGGGGGAGGTGGTGCAAGGTAAGGAAGAAATCAAAAGAAGCGGAAAAAAGCAACACCAGCAGCCAACAAATAGCACTCACAGAGCCGGCCCGTTCGTGTGGGTGGAATCCAAGCAGCCAGTGCTTCCCAGACAAGATTGTGCCCGTGGGAAGTACAGGAGGCCGAGTGGGGGTGAAGAAGGGGGGGGGGTGGGAAAGCATATATCAGAAATTACCGGTGGTTTTTTCTCCCACTGGAAGCTCTGTGAAGCTGCTTTCTCGTACCCCCGATTTGCCGGTCTCTGCTAGGAGTCCAAGATGGCGGATTCACGCTGCGTTAGCTGATAGGGGACCTCTGCATGACTCTCTCCTCGCTCTCTGTTCTCTTGTCAGTTTTCTCACTCCATCTGGTGCTTGGCTGAGTTCTTTATCTCTTCATTTGATGTTTTAGGGTTTCAGGACTGTTGTTTTCTCTGTTTGGCTTAGTTTTTCGGATCCTTTCTGTGCAGGGACAGTGTGGTGCTTCTGCCTAGAGCGCCATTTTGCCACTAAATCCCAGAAAGTTTTTTTCTGGAAACCTTCAAGATATTATATTTGGTATTCTGAAATTTCAGAAGTGCATGCCAAAGTGTAGATACTCCTTTGTTCATCTTCTTTAGAACACTTGGTAGACCCTTTAAATTTGTATCTTTCTTCTGCTCTTGAGAAATTTTAACTTTTTTCTTTTAAATTTCTTCCCTATTTCTGAATGGGAAAAAGTCTTGTAGGATATTGGACCTCCTGGATTGGGTCTCCATGTTTTCTACAGTTCTTTCTTATGTTTTCTTTTTTCCACGTTATTGTCTTTTTGGCAGTGGTCTGGGAAGTTTCCTTATGCTAATCTTTTGATTAAAAAATATTTAAAATAGGGAAGAGGATAGGCAGTCTTAGTTTAATTATCTAGAACTCTTTCTTCTCCTTTTATTTATCATAGAAATCTGTTCTGCCTTTATGACTGTGATATCTTTTTTAGTGTCTGTGAGGTTACAAATTAAAATTGTTTTTAAATTACCATCTGTGTCCTGAATTATATTTGTTTATTTCCAGTCAGTGGTTCAGTTTGTTCGGGACAAGATTCTAGAATGTGAAGCACGTTTCAAATAAGGAGAATATATAACCAAGTGTGTGGAAGCAGAAATGCAAAAAGCTTCCTCTGGGAGCAGTGATAATCTGATTATTGTAATGCTGTGCACATAACGAGATAAGGGCCTGAACTAGCATGAATACAATGAAAACTGAAAGATAAGAACTGAGTAATTATGCAAGAAAAATTAGTATAATTAAGAACTAATTTCTCCACTCCAAAACTCCCACAGCACACTCTTGTTGAACTAATTGTAAACTCCCTTATAATGTTAATGATTATGTCTACGTGTATGTCTTTCTGACTAAATGTGACTCTTCAAGTCAGGAACTGTATTTTATTCACTCATTCTTTTACAGATATTTATTAACCAAGCACTGTTCCAAGTGTTAGGGATAGAGCAGTGAGCAAAGACACAATAAATCCCTGATACTCAAGGACACTTCACATATTATATTTTTCACAGTGCTCAGAACCCAGTGCTCTGTATTCCGAAGGTAAATATTTATTATTTAACCTAAATTTAAAAGGTAACATCAAGATAGTCTATTTGTTTCTGTTTATTTGTGCTGTGTAATTTCTTTTTGGTATTGAACTTTTTTCTCTCTAACTTGATGCAAAAAATTATTTTGCATTCAGATTAAACCAGTATCCTTCACCTTGGAAGAGGTAATAAGGCACCTTGATGTAATGAAATGTGCACCGCCCTGAAGGAGTCCGGAGTTCTAGTTTGACTCTACTGTTAACTAGTTGAATAGGTTTGCACACGCAACTTTTACCCTCTTTACCCCCTCACAGCCTTAGTTTTCTCGTATGTAAGATAACAAGGTTGATTTCTTTTAGTCCTGGCACTTTTGAGTCTGAAATTTGGGACAGAATTTTTGTTCCTGTGGCCTTTGAATAAATGCTGTAATTAAACCGTCTAGTACATTTAATTGAATGGGAAACAAAACTGAGAGCTGTCGTTTTACGTTTCACTTGCTCTATTTTCAGTGACTAAATATTTGTTTCTTCTCTTTTACAGACTTGGGCCTGGATCAGTATATAATAAAACGCTTTGATGGAAAGGTGAGAGAACTATGATACTTGTGTATATATCCTGTTGTTTACTAAGAAGATTTTAAAGTTTCTCTGGAATTACGTAGGAGAGATTCCTGAATACCTTTTGTTTTATCTTATCAAAAAAGCATATTGCTTAGTGTTAGGAAGCTTGTAAGTACCTTCAAATACTCTTATAGAAAAAATAAAGCAGAATGTTCTTCTATATTTCTGCATATAAGATAGCTCTCATGGGTTGCCTGCTCTGTATTTTAAGGGCTATTCCAGTGTGTGTTGATATTTGAGTGTTAACTCAATAGCTATCTTGGAAATTAACAAGCCCCCAATATTACATTTGCATTTCTTGCAAAAACACCTATCTTCCTCAAACTTTCTGGTAGTATATAGCAATAATCCTAACTAGAAAATTACAAAGGTCCTTACTAATACTTATGAGAGAATTGTGAAGGCCATCCAGATTTTGCATGTATGTGTTCATTCTATTTTCTTACAGTTCTTTATGTTATACCTGAATAAATCATAAAGTAATTCTTAGGTGTAGAAAATTGGACTTTAAATTTTGCTATCTCATAAAGCAGTCAGTCAAACATGTTTTTCCCTTTCAGGGTGAAATCTCCAAAAAGAAAAAGAAAGTATTACACAGGGTCAGAAAGACAGCTAAAGGGTCAATTTTAAAGTCAAGGAAGAAAGCGCATCAGAAAGAAGAAAAAGTCAAGCGTGGCTTTACAAAGCTTAAAGTGGAGGAACTCAGAAGGAAAATCATGGAGTGGATGGAAAAGGCAGGATTACAAAAGAGGGTTTAGATGGGTAGAGGTCAGCGTTAGTGGAAACTGATCTTACAGAAATGTGTCAATGCCTGCATCATTATATAAAACTGTTTAACTCTGGTAAAGTGAAGAGATGTGTGCTCAGCTCTTTCCATGAGTGGAAAGAGTGACTGGCTGCCTTAAGATAATAGAGATTTCAGCCAAAGCTACCTCCTGAAAGTTACCTTTCCTATTCAGGTGGCATACTGCCTAAAATGCCTCCATCTTTGGGTATCCTCTTTTTAAAGTCACATACTCTAAAAGAAAGAATGATTAGAAGAGAAAGGTCACTGAACTAGATGTTAAGAGACCTAGGTTTAGAGTCCTGGCTTGTTTTGGGACAGCCACCTCTGACCTTTAGTGTCTCTGCTTTATGTACTTTAATGAGGGGTGTCTATAGACACAGATGTCAGAATCTGATTTCAGAGTTTCTGGCAAATCAAGCCCCTGTCTTATCTGTCCTTGTGTCACTCAGAGTCCAGCATAGGCCTTGCACACAGACATGACCAATAAATATGACTTATACAGGAAATTAGTCAATTAGTCAATCACATACTCCTTGGAGGTATGACTCATTAAGTCAATGATATAGCAAAATTAACTTAAAATCGCCTTTTTGATGACTTAAGGAGTCTAGAGTATCGTGAGAATTCAGTCTGCTATTGTAGTATATATGTAAACCTGAAAACATGAAAAGAAGTTGAATCAATGCAAGTTGAGTAGCAGACTTACATGTTTTAAGGGGAATTTCCATTCCTAGAGATCTGTCAAATATAAAATCCCTAATGGCAGCTCATGTTTCATATATGCTCTTTAATTTTTTCTTGTTTTGGCCCAGTAATGTCTACTTGATGCTAAAAATTTGCAGCTTTTGGCATGACTGATGGGTTCGATCTTTGTTTCAATTGTATAAGATTTATGAGCTCTACATTTATCATTAGTGTCATTTGCATTTTTCTGATTGCCACTTATTTTTATAAAATACCAAAAGTAAAATGCAATAAAACATTAAAGTATTTGAATACTCTCCTTGCGGTAGAGACAAAAATGGCAGACCTTCTGTGTTTGGAAGGCAGGCCTAAGAGGTTACAGTTGCAAATGCTTATTTTTTCACTGAATCATAAAATTCTGAAATTGGGGTATGAAAGGAAAAATATAGGAATATAAATTTGTAATGTGTGAAAGTGTGACTTGTATAAAAGTCAGCGGTATGAAAGTTGACTTCATGCTATCAGGGTAACAAGGGAACAAGTTCTGAAAGACAAAAGAGAAATGGAGGACTCACATGAGGAGGGGTAGGATTAGACCAGTGACCTTGAGCCAGTTTGTCCCCTAGCAAGGAGTGAACAAGCCACATTTCCCTTTCATCCATGTTATGATATTACATGTAGAATTCCTTTGCCAGATTCTTCATCTAACTTCTATATAAATTTTCATGAAGTCCATTCTGGAGGTCTTGTTTTGGAGCTAGGATTAGGCTTCTTAAAGAGGATTTTTAAACTGAGGTCACCTCTGATTTATGTGTTTGTGAATTGTCTTTTATTTCATATGAAGTTTAAGAAAGTAGTTTTTCTACTTTAGACCTGTTTTAAAACTTTCTTCATTATATATGAAGAGCGCAGAATGCATTGAATGTTTGATCAGTTTAAAAGTTTTTCCAGAGCGTTTTATGTATGAAGTCCACCAGTTGGTAATTTTAAGGATCAATGCTTATTCTACTGTCGATCTTATTATTTTCTTTGGATCTTCATAACTCTTGTTATCTCAGTCAGAAAATTTTAATTCTTAAATAGCAGTTTCTAGATTGTATAAATCCTGGGGACAGTTTCCTGTTGAAAAACAGATTTGTGTGGTAATTGTTGTAGTTTGCGTGCTAAATTTAGTTAAAAAGCTAACACCCTAGAGGACTTTGCTTTTAAATTTGTTTTGATTTTTAAATGGGTTTTCTAATTTTCTTTCTTTCTTTTTTTTAACTTGGAAGAGAAACCACATATGAACTGCTTAAAGAATTATTTATTCCCATCATCTTAGCCCCCATTGTTTTAACTTTTAATCACCACTGAATATAGTCCATCATTTACCAGTAACAAATGCTTTGATAACAGTAGCTTATTTTGTTACCTTCTAATTGAAATACACTTGAGTCTTTTTGTCACTGAAAGCAAGAACAAATGTGAAAATAATATTTTGTTTTAAAGTATTTTCTCATTTGTATTTGAATTTCATAGACCCTCCAGATGCAAAGTAGAAAAGAATGGACCAACTGGTATTGACAGATAATTCTGCTTTGGTACCTGTTATCATTTCTCCTATTCTGTTCAACGGAGTAGAAAATTCCCCAGAGAAATAAACAGAATTTCTCTATTTTAGCCGATATCCAATGAAATTGGATTTAAGTAGTTTTTGAATTTTGAAGAGAATCTTTTTCTAGAGCCCAGTGCTACCTTATGTTTTTAAATGTATGCTAATTCCTTACTCTAAGGATACTAGCGATTTCCTTTGTAGGAAAGTTATGAAATCCAGAATTTTTGGTACTTGCATCATGAAAGTACATTTCAAAACAATCTACCAACACAGATCTTGTATAAAGAATAGTTAGCAGCTATAGTCAATGGCCTTTGGTCTTTTAAGAATATGTTTTGCAGATAAGTGATATTTTTTAAAATATTCTACTAGGATTAAAAATTGAGAAACCTCAAAATGTGGAGGAATTCAGATTTTCTCTTAGAGGATATTTTATATCATTGTAAATAGCTTATTCGCACTGTTATAGAAATGATAGTACAAAATATGGTCTGGCTATTGTTTTAGTGTAATGTCCTAGATTAAAAAAAAAAATGCACACACACCCATATCCATGTATTCTCCTATGACTTGTTAATGGAATCATTTCATGAATTTTAGATCCTTTCTTTAATGAAAACTGTATTTTTTATCATCTGGTAATGTGGCCTATAAACATCTCTCAGTGGAGCCTTTATCCTATTTTATTGTCAAATATTTCTTTCATTTAATCATTGAGTTGCTGTCTTTTATTGGTTGTGGTTTATCTCAGGTGGTTTATGTCCTTCTTAATTATCCAATTTTCTTTTACCCTTCCTTTTTTTTTAACTCAGCAAACCAAAGATAGATATTGTGTTTTGTATTTTCAGTTCCTCTTACAAATAGCAGGCAGCTTTCTCCACATGAAACACTATATTTTACTTTAAAAATCACAGTAGGTAAAATTGTTTCTTATGCAATGAATATCAACTTCCGTATCTTTAATGCAATAATCCCTTCTTTCTCTCTCCTAAAAATAATAAAGTCCATATCTTATTTTTAAGCGAGATCAAATTGCCCATTAAAACTAACTGTTCATTATTATCGTTCCACCATTTATTTCTTTTTCAGAGAATAGATTTGTTATTTTTTCCTCCCTGTTGATTCTCCCTTTTCCCCAACCTCTCCCTGAATATTTCAGAAACACTACCTTTGAATTCAGTTTTTCCGTTATTTGTAATTGCGACCCCTTTAGAATCTTGATGAGCTCTCCAATTTGGAGGAAATAATTAACATGATTTTTTTTTTCTTTCCATCTCCTTTATGGTTTGTACAAGAATATTTGTTCACGTGGAAGAGGAAAGTGTTTTGTATCAAATGGCAATGAAATATGGTCCATATTCAGGTGAAAGTTAAAAGTCTAAAAGTCTATGATCAAAACCTAAAATGGGAAGTACTGAATAGGGTATTTATAACAAAAAGGATGATCAACAGAGAAAAAGATGAGAAATCAAAGCTTTAATACATATAACCAAATGCTCTTAATTGTTTGCTAGGTAGAAGTTCTATTTAAAATACTGATAAATTAATTTTAAATTGCCATTCCCTTGTGGCACATTTTTTTCCTGTAATGTAATTGTCTCAGTGCTTTATTTGAGTAGCGATTATTTACTTCATATCAACATAAAATATGAATCTAGAATAAGGTCAAGTATAGTATTACCCCTTCATATGTAGTCAGCAGTTTGAATCCACCAGCTGCTTCTTTGAAACCCTATGGGGCAAGTTCTACTCTGTCCTATAGGCTCACTGTGAGTTGGAATTTACTCGACAGCAGTGGGTAAGAATGAAATGTGCTGCAGATCAAGGAAATTTAAATTAGGAGAATGAGGACTAAAATTCTCATGGGACAGGGTTTGATGAATCTTCACAAATTTATTT